TTTTTTTTTTTTTTTTTACTATCAGGGAATCCTTTACTTTCTTTGCAATGTTTCATTGCTGCTGTAATGTAGAGAGAATACAAGCGAGAAAAATTCTAATACCTGAAGGAATTAGTTCTAGTCTGCTGCTATGCACAGCCGTGGCTATTGTTTCAGCCTTTGTTTTGTTTTTTTAGCTTTTTGTAAACAAATATGTAATGGCTTAGTATGGCATGGACAATTTAAACAGTTTTAAAGAAATGGCCAGTCTAAAAATGTTCACCCTGCAGCCCAATTTTTACTACATAAAGAGGATGTTTAGTTTGGCTTTAATCTAAGATTGAAATTATAAGAAAGAATGTTTAAAAAAAAAAAAGCAGGAGGTGAAGTTTAAATGCTTAAACCAGCTCTGGCAGACAAAACCCAGGAAAAATACAGTATTCGTGTATCTTCTTGTGGAGTATTCTGAGTCCTTGTTGCAAATATACCAATGCTGCATATAAACGCAACTATTTTTCTATTACTATACTATAATTTTTAATGTATAATCTAGGACTTCATTGAGAGAAATTCTGAATTTCTTTGCAACATCTCTGTAATTCTTTGCAATCTCAGTGAAGTGTCAGACTCAGGTGAATCCCGAAATGAAACTTTATGCAGCAGAAAGATGAGGTAAATTGAGACATACCAGTATATCTGATCATAAATGGAAACAAATGTTCATCTCATCCCCAAGAAAGAAGCTGATCACAGTTTGTTCTATTCAACCTCATGTCCTGGCACCACTATATTTAGTGTCATAGATAAGATTAAAGAATTAAAGCCACATTTTGCAAAAGGATAATGAGCTTATTTACAAAGTTGCAAAACCAACATTCTTCACATCATCTCTATAGGAGTTATCCATCAATGACTTAAGACTTGACTGGGACTTTAGGGAAACAATTACCTTTCCCTGAATTGGATTGGGTGTATTTATTTTTTTATAAAGTCTTGAGATTTTTTTTTACTGTTTTCTGCTTCAGAAAGAAATTCGGAGCAAAATAAAAATGTATTAATACCTGAAATTACGAGATTCTTTAACATTTTTTTTTTTGCACCTTGTAAAACCTTGACTATATTTGCAAAGAAAATAAAAGCCAGGAAAAAAAACTGTTGTTTTGCAAGGCCCACTGTTGAAAGCAGGTTTTGAATTATCTATGATAATCTTTTATTAACAAAAGATGTTGTAATTCCAATTTAAAACATTTTTTTTTTTCTAAATCCTTTACTGGAACCTTGGAACCACATGAATTCTCACATTCTGTGGCAAACTTTTTTTCAAACATGGAAACCAATGCCTGTGGCAGCCTGATTGTGTGCCAGTCTTGTCAACAGATACTAAGCTCCTGGCTAAGCTCCTCTCTGCAGGGCCGTGCAGAGACCACTAAAGGGGCAGGTGCTCAAAAAAAAAAAAGGGCACATCTTATCGCATTTTAGGACACAATATTAACAAAGTCACATAGCTTTCAGAGTTTAATGAACAATGATAAATTACAAAATTGTGAGACATACAATCAAAGCTAAGGGAAATATCTACAAAGAACATAGAACTATGCATATGTAAAAATATTTTATTAGTAATTTCTTTCTGCAGGTCTATTTTGTTATAGGAAAGTATTACAATATTCAAACCTGCAATTTAGCCAAAGATGTAAATCAGAGCTGGACCACCAGACATATTTTGTCTTTACAGAATTAAACTGTTAAAAATGCATACAAGGGCACAATGCAACCTTTTAGTGTACTGTAATCTATAAAAAAAATGTCTGCCTGGTTTGCTGTACTGACAGTGGAGATGGAGACGGTCCATTCAGAAAAGCAGAGCTGCTGCATCAAACTTTAACGTGGAACTGCAGAAAAAAAGAACAAAACAAACATTTTATTAATGCATGTCACCATGAGAAAAGCCTACTCTGTTTGTGTCTTAGTGTATTTTGTAAGTACCTATTTACATTTTCTTCAATCTTTCCTCTTTGTTTTTTCTTGTCAGTTTCTCTTTTCTTTTTTTCCTCATTGTCTCATCTTTTCTGTGTTGAGTGAAGGTCAATGTCTTATTTATTTCAGTCTCTTGCCTTTCTTTTTCCCGCAAACTAAACCCAAGATTATGATCCAAAAACTTATTTTCCGTCATGGTGATTTAACTGTTTAAAAACAAAATTCCAACTTTTAAGTATTTTTGCTATTTTTGTTCTCTTTTGTTCACAGCAGCAGTTTTCTGTTAGCCATGTCTTTAAAAATGTTAACCTCACTGTGAATGATTGGCACATCCTTCTCGATTGCCAACAAAAGAAGGTCTGACAACCGATCCTCCTTGCAGCAGCTGCGCAGTTTTGTTTTCACCAGCTTCATACATTATATCTATCATATATCTATCATGGTAGTTCTGGATGAGTTCTCCTTCAAGATACATTTACCTAACGCTAGAATAAATGAAATGTACATCATGCAGCAAAGGAAATTAGAAAATCAGACATATATCCATTATGGAGATGATAGGTTTTTGACGGGCGATGTGCCCCTATTGCATAAGTAATACTGAAGAATGTCCTACTATCATTAACGACACAGGGAAGCTTTTTAGTTATCTTGCTTTGCTAGCAAAGTCATTAGCTAGCAGCTAGCTCATAGCACAAGAACAACAGCCTAATGTCTGTATGATAAAAATACTGAATCGATAGATAAGAACAGCTTTTCCTCACCTGGCTGTCTCCTCCCGCTCAGTAGTTCTTCAGAGAAAGGCGCGCCGCGTCCTATACTTTCCTCCGTTTAAACCGCTATTCTTTGCAAAAGTAGAGAAATTATACAACGTTCAAAGTTTTCCATTGTCTGACAAGTAGCAAGCCTACTCCAGTATTTTCACCAAAAATTATGTTTTTTAATTCACAAAAAAAACTGTTCTGTAATCATTACAGAACAGTTTTTTGTGAATTAAAAAACATAATTTTCAATGTAAAAGACTAAAAGCACAGAGTAAACAGTGTTTTAGATCAAACAATACTGCATCATCCATGGGGCTCATTTGGTTTCACTTACATCTCTATTCAGGTTGACATTGGAGAGGCGGTGCAGACTGAAGACATAGCCATCCGTCCGATCATGGTTGATCTTGCTTAGGGCCAAATGAGCAGCGGCCACAGTGTAATGTGGAATATTCGCTACCTTTAGCTCCGCAGTTAGCCACCTTATCTGACTGTGGGAGAGGCAAGTGCGTCGTCACCGGCAAAAGGTCAAAGGTAACAATGTGACCAGAGGGCTTATTGTATTGTTTTTCTTGCCCCAAAAAAAAGATAATAATAATAATTTCAGTACATGTGTCAAATAAAAAAAAAAATAAAAATAAAAAAAAAAGGGACCAAAAGGGCACATTGGGATCATGGAGCAAAAGGGGCAGGTGCTCAAGCCCCCTTAGCCCCCCCCTCTGCATGTGCCTGCCTCTCTGCACCACTAATGTCTGCTGATTCTATGCATCGTCTGGTAGGTTTTTCACATTAGACTTTAACGATCAACAAGAGCATCAAAGATAAAAAATAAAAAAAAATAAAAAAAACAACAACTAACAAACAGAAATGCAAACAGCCATTTTGCATTTGGTCTAATCCGACAAAAAATTAACATCAATACTTGTACCTTGGTTTGTCACTAAAATCTACAGTTTACATCAGTGTTAAATGATTTAAAACTTGCTGCAACACTCAAACAAAATGTTTCAATCTCTTACTGTAACTCCTACTTGTCATGATGCATATCCTCTCTGTAATAGCAGTATATATAAATATGAAGTATTCAGAACAAAGCAGGAGGTCCTAAACACCCAGGTAAAGCAACAGGGATCAAGACAGTGAATCAGCAATCGATATACCATCTCAACACAGTCCTCAGGCAGTCCTCACCCACATCTTTTATAAACTCAAGCTACTGTAGGAAACCGTTTTTTTTGGAAGGTTCAGCCATCTTTCCCAATGGTCCATCTGCTCTAAATACCTGACTTCACCCAGTACTGTTAAATGTTTTCTTTTAGTTCTATTTTAGATATGTACAGTTTATTTCCTGCCTATGAGGCATTTAACAATAATTAGTATGCAGATTATTAACATGTAATAATGTACATATATAGTAGGTTTTTGATAAAGGGGGAAAAAAACAAACAGAAACTAAGAAAATCAAACAATCTAGAATGACGATATGCAGATAAAGTGGGAATCAAAAGAGTGAAAACACGAAACAAATGTAAAATTCTGAATATAAACAGCATTCTTGAAAAATTCTGGCTCTGTTTATGAAAGACCATCGTTGCAGATGATCAGGCCAGAGGCGCTTTTGGACTTTGGTGGAGGAGGGGCTGAAAGAGTACTATGTAATCCAACCACTGGCCCTAATCTCTAATCTGTACCCCTGATCCAGGGTGCCAGGATACATTGTGGGTGTGTTTGTGTATGTGCAAGGGAAAGTGAGTGTCCAAGCAAGTGCAAAGGTCACTCGGATATGGCACATGTGCACAGGACAAGGGAAAGCAGAAAGGTGCATGCTTGTGTGAACATGTGTGTCATTATGCTTGCAGCTGATGGAGCGTAATGACAGCAGGGGAATTGAGCATTATATTGAAAAGACCTTGTTTTGTCAGAAGATTACATAAACACATTCCCACAAGAGCCAGGACAGTGGTAGTAAAGTTGGCATTACATGAAGAAGCCCATAAACCAGAATTATTCATCTGACTTATAAAACCTTCAATAACATCAATTGCTAGGTCCCATTGTATCTTAAAGATCTTTTAATCCATCAAGATCCTAACCCTAAAGTGACTTGGTTGTGTCACTGAAAAACATTTCCAAAACTCATAGTAAGTGCACTTGCCTGGTGTCTTTCACCAGTGTAGGCTTTGTTTTAGAGATTAGGATTAAGTTTAATTAATTAGTATTTATACTAAAACATCTACAAAAACTAAATTAATATTAATAAAGCATTTCTTTGTTTGCTAGGTGAATGCTGTGATGCCATTTGGATGCCTTGCCCTGAGAGATGGGCGGACTTACGACAGCATATCTGATGTCACAGATAAATACGACTTTGGACAAGTTCTTCGAGCGTAAGTACTTTTAAGTTTTATAGTTATATTTCTGTCTTTCACCTTCTCTATTTACAAATCCATTCAAATTAAATTGTTAGGACAAACTAAAATTCTGTTTATCTGTCAGTTTCTATACTTGTAGCAAAGTGTAGTATAGCAAATAAATCCTCAGACAGGCTGCTCTTTGATAGCTCATCAGACGGCTACTGTGTCATCATAGCTGCTCATTTGAAGCAACCTTAAACTTAATATATATATAAAATCCTTTTTTTATTGGCACCTTTTGGGATTTTTTTTTAATATTTAGATAATAACATATTTATGATGCTTTTGCTTTATAAGCGACAAAACACCCTTGTTTTTTACCCAATGTTTTTGTTAGTTGAGAATGCTAGTTGTATTGGTCTTATCTTTTTGTTCTGAGTTCTGCCAAAAATATAAAATAATGTAATGTATAAATATAATAATAAAAGTATAATAGTGAATTTTGGGATTTTTTGATAGTCTGCCACTTTGCAATGTAATCAAAGATGGTACGTTCCTGAAAGTATTCCAGTGAACCCATCTGATTATGAAGGTTCTTTTGCCAGAACTGTTACACACACCTTAATTTCAGCAAAGTGGATCAAATTATAAACAATAAACGGTGTACCTTAGAAAACTGTGACAAAGCATAATAGCCTTTGACATTTGGAGCAGCCATTTTGTTGGAACGTTTACAGTATCTCAGTAAAGTTAATGTGGTTACTGATATAATGTTTGTTAATTACTTAAGTAATCGGCACACAAAAAAACCCTCAAAGTAGGCCATCAATTATGTATTTTGCATTAAAGTAAAATGATACAGAAATCTATTAAAATTTAGAAATCAATAGTACCCCCACTTTCAAATTAACATCAATTAAATTAATCAATTCGATTAAATGTTTAAGCTAACGGTGTACCTTAGAAAACTGTGACAAAGCATAATAAATATGTCCTGTAGATTAAAATAAATCTGCTAATAAAGGGTTTGGGTTGTTTTATATGGCTTCAATAAGCTAGAAGCTGAGCTTTTATGGATTTTGGCCTCACAATATTCTGAGAATTTATTTAACATTAATGGAAAAACTCCAATATCTCATTTGTCAACAACGGGTAAGGCAATACTTTCAATGTATCCTGCTAAAAAAATAAAACCAAAATATTCATTGCTGAGGGCAGAATTAAAAGAAGGGAGAGTCCAACAGTGCCACACTGAAAATGTTTTCTGACAGCTGCATTCTGAAGAGGTGTTGTATTGGCATTATCCATGTTAAGCTGCTGAGAAAATGATTGTGTGATTTGGGCTGAACTGCCTGTATTTTCCTGCATTAGAATCTGATATCACTTTCTTTTATTCTGATTGGTTGGAGGTCGGCAGATGGAGGGAATCGCCCATGCAAGAAATAGTCACCACTTCTTAAGATTTTTGTTTTCTAGTGTATGATTTATTGGAGTTTAATCTAAACAAATAAAACTATAGATTCATGTCAATAAAGCTTGAACTTTGATGGATACGTCTCACAGGCTAAATTCATAGTATTTGGTGTCACATTTTCATGATTTCCATCCCCTGGCCTGCAAAACATGACCCTGCTGGCCAAGAACCTTTCATTTTCTTCTTCAGTGCACTCCACAGATATGCACACTCTAACCATATGCCCCAATGCCAATTGGTGGAAGAGGCCATATGGCAGCATTAGCATCTGGCCTCAAAAAATGTCTGCTCAGATTTTGCATGACACACATGTACACAAACACCATAACACATCCACAGATAGGAAGCAGACTGAAAAGAACAAACATTCACCAATAAGCACACACATTTGTCCTACATGTGCATTTCTGCAATAAAATCAGTTATATTAGGAGATTATAAAAGTGCCCTGAGAAAAAAATTTAATATACAACAGTATATAGCTTCTTTTGTTCATTTATTTTTTCAAAAACACTGTTAAATGAAGGGGAGATTAGCAAATAGAATCACAGAGCACGACCTAATATGAGAAATATTTTTATTTAACTTGAATAGTTTTAATCTTATTGCTTTTTAAATGTAATCTGCATAGAGCCCTAGAAACCCTCAAATGATAAAAACATAATGAATTCCTGATGATGGTGGCAATAGATCATTTGCAAATCATTTTTTTTTTTTTTTACTTAAGCCAGCGGCTCACTGCTCAACTAAATTACTTTAGTGTATTTCACAACACAGCCAGTGTTCTTTATATATCTAATTAATTCTAATATATTTTATATCCCGGACACCTGTTGTTAAATGGGATTCCAAAAAAAAGAAAAAATCTAATCAATAGATATTTCATTTTGGCCTAACTTTGACATTATATTTATCTTTCCCTCCTCTCTGTCTGTTTGTCTATTTTTCTCTCCCTGTGTAGGAAGGAGTTTTGTGAGCTGTGCCTGGCAAAGGACAGACAAACAGAAAAGGTGTTTGTCTGCAAGAAATTTTTCAAAAAGGATGGAAGAAAAGTCCGCAAGGCCGCCAAGAATGAGATCATGATCTTGAAATTGTATGTAATCAGCTAACTTATAAATGTAGAAGTGTCTGTGTTATTGAGAAGATTGATTTATTAGTTGTCTTAATTAAACAGTAACCATGATAAAGCCTGAATTAAGGTAACAGCAGGGAAGATTCTTTAAATTATAATAAAACACTTTATTTGTAGTTACCTTTTTAGACACTCAGGGATACCACACTAAAGCAAAACATCTAAGGGGCAAAAAAAATAAATAAAATGTGCATTAAAGTAGGAGGTTACAGAAAAATAAAAAAATAAAAATTTGAATGAAAGTTAATATAGCAGAAAGAAATTGTATAAAAAAGAAGCACAGATAAAAAAAGATTTAAACCCAGTAAGTGAATGATGTAGACGGGGGGGATAGGTCATGTGAAACAGCTCAATGTTCCACATGAACACGAGAGGTGGAGGAACTGTGAGGATGATGGATGATGAAGATCGGAGTGAGTGACTTTGACTAGGAGTGTGGAGAAGGGCATTGAGATATGAGGGAGTGAGGTTGTGGACGGCCTTTGACATTTGGAGCAGCCATTTTGTTGGAACGTTTAAAGTATCTCAGTAAAGTTAATGTGGTTACTGATATAATATTTGTTAATTACTTAAGTAATCGGCACACAAAAAAACCCCTCAAAGTAGCCCATCAATTATGTATTTTGCATTAAAGTAAAATTATGCAGAAATCTACTAAAATTTAGAAATCAATAGTACCCCCACTTTAAAATTAACATCAATTAAATTTTTCAATTCGATTAAATGTTTAAGCTAATTTGTATATAGCGTCAGTTCAAATGTTATCTTAGGACACTGACCAGTTCAATTAAACCACACAAACAATTGGTTAAAATGTTTTCTTTCTTATTCTGTAGATTTCAGTATTGTATTTATCTCCTTTATAAACCCAGATTTACACATATCATACTTAATGTCTTTTTTTTTCTTTGTGTGATCAAATGATTTGTTCACATCTGGGGTGAATTCAGCATTAAAAGTGCAATTACAGATACATTTACAGTTAAGAATTTCAATGCTCAACACTTCAGTTATCTACTTAAAAATCCGTCTGTAAAATAACAAAGTTATTCATTGATGTCTGCATTGTTTAAGCTTTATTTTTGTTTCTGGGAGGGGTCTATAATTGCTTTTTGTATGATTATTATAAGTGTAAATACAATATTGTTTTAAAAAAGATTTATTGCAGGCAACAAAAAAGAACATGACAGAATAATTTTCTCTTGACCCCTACATTGCTGCATATAATAAGTTCAGGGTCTTTGAACATGGACTATCGGGGTTTTGATTATTGTGAAAGCATCAGTATTGCTTAATGCCTCCATCCCTTATCTGTCTTGCTGGCATTATATCAGTGCTTCATCCAACTAGGTCCCAATTGAGTTGTATGAAGTACATTGCATAGAAATTGACATTCTTAATCTACAAATGATATTTTCAATTGGATGAAGCTTAACTTTTTCTTTAAAAAAAAATATCCAGAAAACAGCTTGCTCTCAGTGCATATCCTGTAAAGTCTGATCGTTTAATGACACTATATTATAGGTTAGATTTATTATTATTATTATTATTCTGTAAGATATTATGTTGGTATAGAAATAGTCTTTTTCAGGAAAATTACACAGACACAGAAAGGGTATGCAATTATATTTTATTATAAAGTAATATATTAATACATATTAATAAAGTTGTTTTTTTTTGTTTCAGCTGGTTTTCTGGAATTTTCCTAGTTTTGTAAATCTTGAATTACCTATTTTAAAACTAAACTTGTAGCATTTTTAGACCAGGCAGTTGTTCTAAACTTTTAGGAAGTATATAATTTTCAGTTACAGCTATGAAAGAAAATATTACTGGCTCGTGTCTAGATGAGGTCTATTTATAGTTTTAATGTTGACATAAATCCGGTTTATTGCTCCTTAGATCATTTCATTGCTGCATTTGGTTATGGTTTAAGATTTTGTATCAGCTTCTCGATTCCTCTGACTGTTTTTTGGGGGTTTTCCAGGGTCAATCACCCAAACATCCTTCAGCTGATAGATACATTTGAAACTCGAAAAGAATACTTCATAATCCAGGAACTGTGAGTATTTCTTATCGTTTACTTTTAATGTCCATGCCATCCATATTAGGTGTTTTAATTGCATGTTTTCGTGCAGAAACTTATCATTGAAGTGGTTGGAGTTGAATGTTTCCTCTTATTACTCTTATTGCTCTTGCTCCCCTGTGCAGCAGAGGAAGGTGTTAGATTTGATGAGATGTTTGTTCTCCGAAACACTCAGCATTACTCAGTGGCCCTGAAGCTTTGGTTTGCAACAGGAGAGTCTGCATGGGGAGCTTGGGATTGATTAATAGGAGACACAACCATGTAGTAATACAGATTTATCCATAGAGGGAAAGGTCTTTCGTCACTAATAAAACAGGGGGGGGGGGGGGGATACGTTTAAATGAGTGGATTCACCCCCCTTTGTCTCTGTGAGCTATTTAGGAGCTCCCTTTTCAGTCTGGGCTATAGTTGTCCTGCTGAGAGCAATATGTGATAATCAACCCAATCATTTATCTCCAAAGATAATGTAAGTCCTTTAGAGTAATAAGCAGTAGCCTCACTTTAATTGCTCAGCAGTGATAGCTCGAGGCGAGATAAAGCAAAGTACTTTCCAGACAGCCAGGAACACTTTAGCAGTAATACGAAGATTAATCTGCGCTGTTTGAACACGGCAGGTATGTTTACCAATATATTTGGCAGTGTGTAAAGAGGTGGATATTCTTGTGTGTAACTCTCTGTAGTGCCACAGGGGGAGATGTATTTGACTGGATTTTGGACCAAGGGAATTACACAGAGAGAGATGCTTCCAATGTTATCAGACAGGTGTTGGAGGCTGTGGCGTACCTACACTCTCTCAACATTGTTCACAGAAATCTAAAGGTACGGTTATGTTTTCTCTGAACACTATTTATCATGTTTTTTGTTTCTTTTTAATAGAACACGCTGAAAATTGTTATTGTAATATAAAAAAGTAATAATAAAAAGTTAAAAATGAAACTTAGAGGGTATGATTACTTCTGTGTAGCCAAATACATAGAAATTGTGATTAGCTTGTAGGGATAAAAACAAAACATGATAAGGTCAGTCCAGACTGACCTTATTCTCACTTCCCACACAAACATATTAAATAATTCCTTTGCCATCTCAGTTATTAACTAAACATCTTTATGGCTCCTATAGGCATGTCTGTAATTCTTTACAAAAAACTATCAAGATAAAGCAGCAGAATAATCTATGTTCTGTCTCCATCTACTGGTAGAAAGTGGACATTTCTTTAGTCCAAGAGGTTTAGACTCTTGCAGATTGTAGTCATATTAAATCATGTTGACATATTCAAATTAGGATATGTCATGTTTAAATCTATTCTATTTCGCTTGATATCTTTATTAAATCATGTTTGACCTATAAAATCAGAAGTCATTTAATCCCCCTCTGTCAAGATCGCAATGCAAATAAAATGCAAAATGATGTGCATGATTATTTTCTGCCATCCTAAGTGGTAGCAAACATGTCCTTAAACATTAATCATATAAATGTGTAACTGTCTGTTTAGTAGTTTCAGTTCAGCTTATCTGTTTGCCAAGACCATAGGTCTGCAACTTGCAGCCACTTGCATTTGTTAAGATAACCTTTTTTCTGCTTTTTGCTGAATTTTGCATCAACGTCTAAAATCATTGCCAAAAAAAAGTGTTGAAAAGAGTATACTTCATCTCAAAGTGATTATTTTTTAAATGCATCTCCTAACCAAAGGGTATGAGAATAATGTTTATTTTTATGCTTCAGGAAATGTACGAAATATTTATCACATCGGGTATGAATTTTTAACTTTTTGATACATTTTCCCTCATCTCCTTATTTATGTACAGCTTGAAAACTTGATGTACTACACAGAAAACAACCACAATAAAGTAGTTCTGCGAGATTTTTACCTCTCCAGATTTGAGAATGGACCAATCACAGAGCCATGCGGAACACCTGAATACCTCGGTAGGTTATACTGTTTTTAAAGTACTTGGTTTCCTTCCAGTATTCCAGTATTTTTTAGAGAAAGTACAATACTTTATACAAGAAGTCGATGCTGTCCTCTGCCTTCTTTAATTCTCTTTGCTGCTTTGAAAGAAAATAATCTATAAAGGATAAACACTTACTCAGAAACAGAAAACCCAGAAAAACATAAATGAGATTGAAAGTGTCCAACCTTTGGCCTCCTCATCCTCCTCCCCTCTAGCTTCTCTTTTTATCTGCTTTTTGATTCTGTGTGCTGTCTCACTCCTCTTCATCTTGCTGATGTTTATTTGAGGGCAACCTAAAAGTGCTAAGCTGTGCTTCTCTGCAGTTAAAGGCCAGAGCAGTTATTCATATTGATAAGCCAAGTAATGAAATCAGTAAATAAGAAAAGAGAATAGAGGTGCTGGTGGGAAGAGGGATGTGAAAAAGTGAGTAATGGGAGCCAGGCTTGGGAGAAAAGCTGTTTGTGCTTTTGGAGAATCTGATGATGAGCTGGAGGATAAATTAGAACCTTGGAATCTATTTACCTCTTACACCAATTCTGCATCTCCTCCTCTTTGCTTTCAGCTCCTGAAGTGGTTGCTCGTCATCGGTACGGTCGCGCTGTGGACTGCTGGGCAGTGGGGGTGATCATGTACATACTGTGAGTCTGCATTTCTAATTGAAATCTTTACTACCAAATTGTTTACAGAGATTGTCATTAGCATAACATCTGTCTCAACATACAAATGAAACCTGATGTTTATATATATTGTACAAAAATACAGATTTTTTCTCTGCCCAACTGTAATTCAAATTAATCATTCATGCTTTAGATCAACCTTTTATTTTCTTCAAATTGTGCCATGCACTAAGATTACTCTGCATTTCATGAATTTGGGAAACCAAGATGCTTTCAAGAAGGCTTTCTAAGCTTCTGATGGGCGAGTTCATAACATTTGAATTAGTTAGAGGTTTAGATATATATACAGCCAACACCTAAACACAATGTCTTGTGTGACAGTAAGTGGAAATCAAAAGAAATTATCTGACATATTAGGGAGTGACCTGTAGCCCCTCACAAATCTGATTAATTCTTAAATAGGATTACAAATGCCTGAAGGTTAGAGCATGTTAGTTTGATTAATGATATTACATTTCTTAACAGTGCAGAGAGCAATAGGTTGGGGAAAGCCAGCTTATTGCAGTTTAGAGAAGAGTCTCTGTGTTCTAGGGATGGTGCAAAATGTATCAACCCCAGAACAATAACAAGATACTGGCAGAAGGTGTAAAGAGAGTTTTATTACAGGGGAGTGATGGCCTAGAGCAGTGCGCTTGTACTCTGAGAAGTTTAAACTACGCGGTAGGATTCTACATCCTCCACTCTGGCTCTCTGAGCAAGAACCTTAACCCCACACTGCTCCCAGGTGCCACACAATGGCTGCCCACTGCTCCCCAAGGGAATGGGTTAAATGCAGAGCTACATTTCTCTAGTGTGAGATCAATAAAGTTCAACTATTATTATTATTATGACACTCTCTTACACAACAAAAATGTCCTACATTAATATCGCTTGAAAGGCCACTCCAGAAGGAAAAGTCATTCAAAAAGACCACATGATATAAACAGGATTACAGTTAGCAAATGCACCCATAGACAAAAAGTCCTTAGTGTCCGGTGCAGGTGGGAAGGCAGATCCCATTTTAGGATCGGTCATAACAAACGGCGTGTGAGCAAAGTGGCCTATAGTTTCATCTGCTCTGTCAGGAATTATTTACCAAAAATCCAGCAAACAATTCAATCGGAAAAACTCACACGAAGAGAAGAGACAATTAGGAGAAATGTATTGATACAATTACTTTGCCTTTGGTGCTTAGACCTCGGCAGGAAACATAGTGCTTAATTTTGATAGATAGGCATGAACAGGAGCAAGGAATAAGGCTGTTTCCCCCCAGGCCTGAAACTGGTGGTGGAGTGGAGATAGAGAAGTTGGTCAGTCTGTAGACTGTTGGTTAGCGAGATGGTATGCTGAGCTTTATGGGGAGATACAGTGGATTGCGTGGGCTGATACTAGAGCTTTACTCGGGACCTGAAAGATGAGAGAAGCTGTCCATGATGAGCAAGCATGGAGCGACAGTGGAGAGGAAAAACTCCCCGTTGGGAAAAAAACCTCTGGCAGAACCAGGCTCAACATGGTGGTCTTCTGCCGGACCGGTTAAGATGAGACAGGAACGCAGTAAGATTCCGGGAGGAATGACACTCTGATGAAGCTTTAGCTACGATGGTGGAGGAGGGACTAGAGGTGGGTTGAAACGGTGTCATCTGAATGAAGTCACACAGCGCATCCACTGCCTGCGCACAGGAGCAGACAGGTGCGTACCGGAGGCTTTTTAAGATGAACTTTGGATGCCGATGGCTTTCGTGGAGGTGTGGTTCAAAGCTGATTGGCTGTGTCGCAGGTTGATGAAGGAGAGCAATGAGTTTCTTCAGTTGAACTTCTGCCTAGGCTCCTCATTAATAAACATTATTATAAGGTAACCTGAGAGCACAGAACGTTTATAAAATAACTTTTAAACAAAACTTTGAAGTCTTAAAATTAGCAATATATTACAAAAATCTTTGAAAAATAGAATTTATTCTAGTAATCCAAAATAACCCACAAAAGGAAAGGTTTTGTTTGACTTTTTTTTTGCTTAAAAGTAATAAAAATCTCACCTGCATTTTTTACATGATCCATTCCAACATCTAATTTTTTAAAGCAATTTTAAATATTATTTTTCCAACTTTTAATTTTACTATCCACTTTTCAGCTTATCGGGCAACCCTCCCTTTTATGATGAGACTGAGGAAGAAAACACAGATCTACATAATCGCATCATCTTCTGCCGCATCGTTGCTGGGGACTTTGAGTTTGATTCTCCTCACTGGGATGACATTTCACCTGCAGGTGCCTACCTCAAACACAAGATGGCGCCAATCACTCACTTCCAGTTTGTTGACTTGGATACAACCATTTATAACTTCTCAATAAATGAAACATTTAAAGTTTTTCATTTTGATTTTGAGGTTATTGACCAAGATAAGTTTTTTTAGTATTATAAACTGGAGGGATATTTATATGTAGTTGTCAAACAGATAACAACCTGAAAAGTTAAAGTCACCCTTTTAACTGCTTTAAAATAAAATTAAGTGCAACTAACTTACCTAAGTTAGAATAGAACCTCAGAATTTACCTAAAAATTTTTATTTAATCTCTTTATAAATCAGCTGTTCTGTTAAAGTCAAAAATGTGTAAACACATTACACAGATCAATGACAAGTTCACGTGAAAAATTAAAGTAAGTTAGGCATAAAAGAATTCCCCATGATTTAAGGATTTCACTGAGCGCTATTCAATACATCATCTGAAAATGGAAAAATGGAGCATGGCTGAAAACCATCCACTTATACTGAATAAGAGAGGCAGTTAAGAGGCTGATGGTACCTTTGGAGGAGCTGCAGAGAACTCTCTCAAAGTTTTTTTTAGACAACATAGAGCTAAATGCTGGAGAAGCCTTTAAGAAATATGTCCATGCTGGCAAGAACTATACAGAATATAATTCTTCCAGTAGGTACATGCAACATGTAGTCAGAAGTACAATGGGATGTTTAAAATTTAAGGATGTATATGTGCTAGTCAAGGTCTAACTTAAACCTAGCCGAGAGACAGAGTCTGATATATTTTGGAGGAAAGAAAAAGAAAAATATCTCTTCTCTAGATCTGGAAAGCTGATAGAGACCTTACAACATATTAATCAGATTTTTCTTTGTCAGATATTATTAAAAAGGTTTTTGCTTTTTTCCCTTTCCAGTTTATCTTGTACTATGTTGTGTTGTATCGTGAAATATTTCAAAAAGAATACATTAAAGTTTCTAAGTTGTAAACTATTAAAGGGAATTTTCGTATTTAAGTTTTCACATTTTAGTTCTCTGTGTTCATTTTGCAATTTCAGCTAAAGCCCTTGTGTGTAGACTCATGGAAGTGGACCAGATGCTGAGAATCACAGCAGAGGATGCTCTACGCCACGAATGGTGAGCGTAGATCATGGCATTAGTAAGATGTTTTCCTTTATTAATCTATGGTTCATGCATTTACTGTTGCATGTGTTCTGCATCAGGATTGCAGGGAACGGTGCATCAGAGAAGAACTTGAAGGATGGTGTGTGTGCCCAGTTTGAGAAGAATTTTGCAAAGGCCAAATGGCGGGTATGAGAACTCTACTGCACTATTTGTAGCAGAATGGTCATATAACAGTGACCAGGTGATGAATAGAATTGTGCGGCCCTCAAAGCCTTTAAGCTCACTATGCAACTCTGCAGAGATGTATCTTAATGTTTGTAAGAAAAAAGGTAAAACACAAACAGAGGCAAGAGACGAAATTACTGAAGCAAAGAAGGGAGGAGATGGCAGTGCTGACCTAACAGCATGAGTAACAGGTATAAATTTCTTCTTTTTTCCCCCATGTGGTCCCAGGAGTTAAAGGTATTGTTTTCCATTATGAATGAGAGCAGAAGGACAGAACATGAGGAGCAACTCCTCTTATGTGTTTCAATGAAATGTCATTTTAAAGTAGAATTGTATGACTTTCATTGAGGAACGTGGTAACATGTAAATATATATATATAAGAGTCATCCAAAGAAAATGTTATTTTATTTAGATTGTTTCGTGATCATGTTTTTGATGCCAGAGTTCTTCCCAAGCTCTGCTCCTCTGCTCTCACTCTGCCCGTCCCAAAACAGATCCATCCACTCTGCTCCACTTTTCTTCACTGGAGAAGATTCAGATATTCAAAGTGGCTTGCTCTGAACCTTTCTTACTCCTCATCTGCAATAGAGTGTCTAAACATAGTGGTTAAAAAGGTACTGATTATCAAAGGAAAGGGCATTTTGATCTTTATGTTATTGATGTAGATAAGGAGTTGGAGAAATGGAAAGGAAATAAAAGATGTTAGCCACTGTTGACTGTTGAACCAGTGATTTGAACTGTAAGGCCCTCTGGCGTTCCTCTTGCACAAATCCTAGTTCATTACCCCATACCTTTGGTACATCCAAAATATACGCCAGTCATGCAAAACATTGTGACCACTAACAGGTGACACAAAAAACATGAATTACATCTTCGGCATTACATCTGTGAGCTGATGGGATACCTTACACTGCAAAAAAAAAAAAATCTAAATAAGTATTTTTTTTCATAAAATAAGTGCATTTTCTCTTAAATTGAGGAAGGAAGGAAGGATGACTCTTTGCCAGTAGAACAAGATAATTAACATTTAAAATAACAAAAAAAAAACACTTACATTGTCTTATTTCAAGTGCATATTATCTGATTATCTTGTTTTAAGACAAAAATACTCATTCCATTGGCAAATCATCTATTTAACCTACTCAAATTAAGGGTAAATACACGTAATTTAAGACATTTGACCTATTTCTAGCCTGTTTTTGCAGTGTAGGAAGCAAGCAAACATCAGATTTTCTAAAGATCTTTCAGAACAAAGAACAATTCGCAATCTTGATTTGAAAGCATTTGACAAGGGCCCAGGTATGGTATGTAGATGACTAAGTCAAAGCAACACCACAGCTTCAACTCTATTGGAGTGCTCTTGGCCCGCAGTGGCCTTTTTTATAATCAAAAGTTATGAATGGAAGGAAAAGTGGTAATACCTTGACAGGGTGATGAACAATGCAATTATAATTTTTAGACATGGGAAAATTTTGTTCTTATGTGATCCAAATTAATGCTGAAGAGGTTAATGTTGGAATGCCTGCAAAATGCATCCATTGCAGTATTTTTTATTCAGTAATTTTTGTGGTGGAAGAACACTGAGAGTGGGGAACTGCATCGCATAATGGTTGTGTTTTCAAGAAGACAATGTACCGATTAATGAGTATGAGATGTTTGAGATGACAGCACAGAGCGTGAGTTGTTAACTTGGCCCCCAAATTCTCCAGATCTCAGTCCAGTCACTGTCCCCCAGAAATCTGCGGTTATATTTTTTATATTTATATTTTTTCAAAACAAAGCGGAGTATGTATGAAGTCATCCACGCGTCGGATGACTTTATACACATACCATTCATTCATCCTGTCTGCTGAACTGCTGCTAGTTTTACTCACATGCCTGGAAGATGTCTAGTGCTACAACCACAGATGATCTCGCTCTTGAAATGGAATTGAACGATTTAGATTGGCTAGCCGAATGAAAAGAAGGGGTAGAGCGTAGCCGCCTGTGGCCCCGGCTGCCTGTCACAACTCCAGTCGCGGATGACGTCATACACACGCCACTTTGTTTTTAAAATACATAAATAAAAGACTTTACTTCCTGCCTAGAGAGTTTTGGATGTCAGCAATACACCACTACCCCCACACACACCAAAGGACATATTCTGGATTTAATCTGTTGCTCTGGTGTCATCCCCCACAACATAACATCTGATGAACTCCCCATAAGTGACCATTTTCTCCTCTCATTTGCAGTTAATCTTACTCTCTCAGTCTCTAAAACATCCCGCCTCATATCCTTCCGGAACATAAAGAAAATTGATCCCTCCACCCTTATTTCAAGTATCCACTCATCCTGCCTCCTTGACTTCAATAATCTACTAACCCCTGATGATCTGGTTTTTCATTACAACACTGGTCTCCATAATATTCTTGACTCACTTGCTCCTCTAAAAAATAGATTTGTTTCTTTCTCTGTCTCCTCCCCCTGGTACACCCCAAATCTCAGAAACATGAAAACCAAAGGACGGCAACTTGAAAGACTTTACAGAAAAACTGGTCTTACTATACACAAAGAAATGTACAATAATCACATTATGCACTATAAGGACTCCATTGCCAGCACCAAATCACAGTACTACTCCAACTTAATCACTGCCAATCAACAGAGCTCTAAGTCACTTTTCTCTATACTTAACAATACCATCAAACCCCAGGACCCTTTCCCCCTGCACCTTTACACAACCTCCTTCTGCAATGACATCATGTCATACTTCACAGAAAAAATCAAGAACATTCACCAGAACCTTGGATCAACGGCTCATCTCAACAACTCAGCAGATCTCCCCCCGCCTACACATTTATTCTCCTCCTTCCATCCTCCCACTGTCTCGGAAATCACAGAGCTCATCCGGAAATCCAAATCATCCACCTGTCAATTGGACCCCCTCCCAACACAACTTGTCAAAACCTGCCTTCCCTCTCTGGCTCCCCTCATCTCCGCTATCATCCACTCCTCCCTCACCACTGGAACTGTCCCTACACCTCTCAAAACTGCTGCCATCACCCCGATTGTAAAAAAACCTGGTGCCGACCCCACCAACTTCAACAACCTCCGTCCTATCTCCAATTTACCCTTCATCTCCAAAATTCTTGAAAAAACAGTTGCCTCCCAACTCCATTCTCACCTATGTGCCAACAGCCTGTATGAAGAATTTCAGTCTGGTTTCCGGCCACTCCATAGCACTGAAACAGCACTCATCAAAATCACCAATGACCTCCTCATGGCATCTGATTCTGGACTACTCACCATCCTCATCCTCCTCGACCTGAGTGCAGCCTTCGACACCATCTGTCACACCACCCTCCTCAGTAGGCTTTCTTCCATTGGCATCACGAGCACTCCGTTGGACTGGTTTATTTCTTATTTTTCTGATCGCACTCAGTTCATTCAACTGAAGACCCTCAAATCCACCCCCTCCCCCGTCACCTCAGGTGTGCCCCAGGGCTCTGTTCTGGGGCCTCTGCTCTTCATCATCTACCTCCTTCCCCTTGGCAATATCTTCCGTAAATTCAACATCCACTTCCATTGCTATGCTGATGACACCCAGCTCTACCTCACCACGCAGCCATCGTTCTCTCTTCCGCCCACCTCCCTCAGAAATTGCATCTGTGAATTAAAGGCCTGGTTCACCAACAACTTCCTTCAATTAAACAGTAGTAAAACCGAGGTTCTCCTCATTGGTACCAAATCAACTCTTTCCAAAACCGACAGTTTCCAAGTCACTATTGATAGCTCCTCCATCTCCCCCTCCCCCCAGGTTAAGAGTCTGGGTGTCATCCTCGATAGCACACTATCTTTCCAATCCCATATAAATAACATTACCCGGTCTGCCTACTTCCACTTAAGAAACATCAACCGCCTCCGTCCCTCCCTTACCCCACACACTACTGCCATACTTGTGCACAGCCTTGTCACCTCCCGACTAGATTACTGCAACTCCCTCCTCTTTGGACTTCCTCAGAAATCACTCCACAAACTACAACTGGTCCAGAACTCAGCTGCTCGCATCATAACAAGAACTCCCTCTATCCACCACATCACTCCGGTCCTCCGACAGCTCCACTGGCTCCCCATACAGTTCCGCATTCAATATAAAATTATCATGATGACTTTCAAGGCACTTCACCATCTTGCCCCCCCATATCTGTCAGACCTCCTGCATGTTCCCACCCCCTCCCGTGCTCTTAGATCCTCATCTGCTTTGCACCTGTCTGTCCCCTCCGCCCGTCTCACCACCATGGGGAGCAGAGCATTCAGCCGCTCTGCCCCCCGCCTCTGGAACTCTCTACCACCCCAACTTCGAAATACGGACTCAATTCTCCATTTTAAAATACAACTCAAAACCCATCTGTTCAAGATTGCTTATTCTCTTTAAAAATATCAATTTCACTGTCACAGCCTCTGTATTTTTAAATGTTTTTAAATGTTTTTATAATTATAATTTTTATTTTTTCTGACACTTTTTATGTTTTGTACGGTGACCTTGAGTGTCCAGAAAGGCGCCTTTTTAAATAAAATGTATTATTATTATTATTAAATAGAAAAAATATAACCGCGGATGTCTGGGGGACATTGATTCGCCTACATGTTATGAATGCTGGCGTACCATAAAGAATAAATTATGAACAGTTTAGTTTGTGCCTTCAACTCGTTGCCCATAGCAAGACGTGACTTGGATTACAAAACCGAATATATTCGGAACAGCTCCAAATGACACAAAACTCATATGGGTCAGTAGAACATGATGTAATAACATAAAATAAAGGGGCCTATGAAAAAAAAAATGGCGTTGCCCTTTAAAGGGCCTGAGGACTCTGTGCCAGGACTCTGACTAAGGCGCTATTAGGCAGGTCACTACTAGGCAGGTGGTCATAATGTAATGCCTGAAGGGTGTACACACAGGTGCTGTTTAGGTAAGTCACATTTGATGAGCTGCTTCTAAGGGAATTCGATGGAATTCTGCTCCCTGGTTTACAAACAACTGCTAAAGCTCACACATTATCCCAGACTCCTTTGGTGTTTGTGGGTCAAAAGAGATCAGACTAGTAAACCTTTCAATTAGAAATGGAGGTTTACATCTTTTACTCTCAGCAAGCATTCAAAGGGTTTTTGGGTAGTGTGAGTCATGAGTCTGATTTAAACCAGGTTATAATGTGTCATAGCTTCTTGAAAGTTGAAAAAGACTTGCACTAATATTTCTTCACTCCACAGTTTTGATATTTCAGTGTTTGTGATGCGAAAGCTAAATCATTCTGTTTTAAAAGGCATTCTGCCAAACATTTGTCTCTTACCAGCTTTGTGAAGCAGATCTTGTTAATTTAAACCATTTCACTCTGTTTTGTTTTTCTTTCTTTTTTTTTTATTACTTCTCACTTGCAGAAAGCAATCCGAGTGACAACCTTCATGCAACGGTTGAAGAACTCCGAAGCACTGAATGATAGTTCAGTTGAGGTTCAGGGTGGGCAACAGGTAGGAGATGGTGAAGGGGGCGTTTCCCAGGGGACAAGTGATGAGGGAGACAAAGGGACGACAGATGAAGGGATAACATCAAGCAGTGTTTCTTTAGAGGTGAGTGTTGAGAATACACAGACCGGTATAGAACAAGTTGAGGTTACAGTTAAGATGGGAGAAAAAACTGAGAAAGGAAACATCCTTGTGGGTCCATCTGTGGAAACGTTTAAACCAGATGGGCAAGACCATTTAAGCCAAACAAGTTCAGTACCTAAATCTGAACAGGATGAGCGTAAGGCTGGGGTGAAGAAGGGAGCTGCAGATGGAACACGGAAAATTGCTGCAAATTTAGGTCAAGCAAAAGTTGTCCCAGAGGTTAAAAAGACAACAGTGGAGACCTCTGATTTGTCAAAGCTGTCAGAAGGTTCACCAAGTGCAAAGCTTGGCAAACAGCACACATCTGGTTCCCCTGAGCCAAGTGGCAAACGTAAAATGGCTGCAACACTGAGTAGCACCACAGCTGCCCCTACTTCTTCAACCTCACCAGAGAAGAAATTAGCCACCCAAAGCACGCAGAGGTATGAGTCTGATGAAAGCTGGTGTCAGACGCAAGTGCCGGAAGCAGTTGCAGAAAGGTCAGTGGTAGCCCCAGTTACTTCATCCATTGGGATGGTAAGTGGGCCTGATGTAGAGCTAGGTGTGAGGTTGCGAGGTGATGCTAGCCCTATAGGAAAAAGGGAGAAGAACACCAGACAAACAGACCGACACAGTGCCGAGTTTAGCATAGTCAGGACCCCTGCTGCAGCCCAAGGTTATGTAGCCGGCAGCTCTGCTAGCTTGGGCCGTCATGCCCCACCATACAATCCAGAGGCCATGTCTGTGGGGATGGGGATGGCTGGGAGCTTTGGGAGTCCATACAGTTCCCTGTATACAAGCAGAGGAGGAGCAGTAGGGATGTATGGGACTGGTCTACACCATGGAGGAAGTGGGAGCAGCAGCACAGCTGATTGGCAAATGGACAGTGTAATTGAACAGATAGAAAAGCAAATGGTAGCCGTGCTTGAGAAGATCGAGGGAGATATGCCCTCATTGCTTGAGCAAATCAGTGACTGTCCTAGTGAGTCAGCACGGGCCAGGAGCACACATGCCTCACCTTCCACTTCTCGCTCACGTTCAACTCAACATTCCTCGACTTCAACCTCAACAACTCTTCCGCCGCTGCCAACCTCCCCAAGGCCAGCGCTACCGACACTCCCCCACCTTGGGATCCCTCCTCCTTCATATCCTCCACCTTCTCCACCCACACAGACCTCACCACAGTCTAACAGGGAGCAGGAGGACAAGAATGAACAGAGAGGCACAGCTCAAACCAGTCACTCACCCAGGGCTGGTATGGGTAGAGGACTATGAGGCAGTGGCGATAAGGCGGTGCACAATCGCAAAAACATTTGGAACTTTGGATTGATTAACTATGATGGTTGAACACACCAGGAAAAAATTATTACTCACTTTGAAAAGTTACCCTACACAGGCCTATGTGGCTATTTGGTATAGTTCATAAGGAATTGCTGTCCTGGGGACATGCAACAATATGGCTTGAATGAAGTTGAGAATTCAAGAATTGCAAGACTCGTTTTATTCTAGAATCCTGACTGTATTGCTGAATATCTGCAGTAGCATATCCAAGTACTCTGCAAAGTTTAATTGTAAGACTACAAAGCTATGAAAGCTACAATACACTACCAAATCAGACATGATACTAACAGTGAAAAGTTACATTTGTATTGTTCGATATATTGTAAATAAATTATCTGAAATTAATTGCTGTTAATAATTTTCTTCCCAAAATGTAAATCATTTCATTTCCTACTTGGCATAGCTTGTTTCCAAAGAAGTCTATATATCCTATATATTATTTTATCCTCTATTATTAGTTATGTAGCTCTTTTTTTTTTTTTTTTGGTGGGGTTTAGATTAACATGGTGATACAGAGGTATGTAAGAATGATCTGATAACACAATTGATTTGTGCAAAATACAAAAAAAATCAAAATGTTACCCAAAGTCTTGTAAGTTTCTCCCCAACTGTCGCAAAGATAAAGGCTGTTTTCCCAACTTGCAACACTGCATATAAAGGCTTTGCAGTCACACGCAAAAAAATGTTTTTGTTGTCAAAGTTTTCCAAGAAACCTGTTCAATAATATTGTTTCCCTTTTTTCCTTGTTTGGTCAATATGCATAGGCTTTCTTGTCAGTTACACTGTCAGTTACACTGTCCTTTCTATTTGCACCTACGTTTCATATAAAATGTCCCACTATATTTCATTATGCTTTTGGCTGTGTGCTACTTGGGGTTCTATGGTATTTTACCCACTCTTTGTAACGTTATTAATAACTGTAAAATGTGTTCTGTTTGCAAGTCTTTCAATAAAATCAATAAAACCAGATGCTATATTGTTTAATTTATGTTTTTGATGAATTATTTTTTAAAGATTTAAAATCGATTTTTAAACCAAATTTTGCCAAAACACAGCATTTCTCTCGTCAAGCGTGTTAACGCATATATCCTACAATTCCCATAAAGCATCGCGGAGAGCTTGGAATGGTCCATATTATCTAAAGTATAGGGGAGCCGAATAATGTTGACTGGATTTTTTTTAAGAGGTTTGAAAAACTCATGGGAGTTTAAGACATATATATAAAAGCATTTTTAGGTGTTGTGTGACAAACCTAACGAATAAATAGGAATTCTGCTAGATATTAAATCTTAGGGTAGCCATATTTCTTTGAATCCTTTAGGTCAGAGCGTTGGTTGGTACTGCCTGTAACGTGCACATGTTGCTGCTTTGCTTTGCTTTGCTTTCAACTGAAATAGAGTGAGGGGGAAACGGCTCAGGAACAGCCGGCCAGAGAGACGTCCAGTGGAAAAAACTCACTCAGAGCCCGCCAGCCTGACACACTTTTCAGTTGGCCGTCAACGGCTGTGTTGACTTGTCATATTGTTTGTTTGGTTTCTCGCTCAAATAGAAGCCGCATTTTTAATATTCCAAATCAGGCCGAGTAATATCGGATGTGGTAAGTTCTGCACACTTGTGTAATCTCTCGCCTCGGTAACGTTAGCCCCAGCTACTTTGCTAACGTTAGCTGGGCAGCTAACATAGCGGCACAAGAAGGGAAAAAGTCGTTGGGTGGCTAGATAGCCGGGATGCTAGCTTTACACAAGCTAACAACTACGCAGTCTTTTGATCTGCGTTATTGATAGTTGTTAATGTTTATTACCGTTAACTAATTGAGTTTTTCCGTCTACTTACCCCGCTAACCACTGCTAGCGGCACAGTGTCACCTTACTGATAACGTTAAACTAGCATTTACTCGGTTTTGTGGACTGCACAATTGTCCATGATCATAATGTGTCAAATAGCCGGAGAGCTGTAGTTGCTGCAAACATTAGAAGCAGACTATTTTGGGGGGTCAAATGTCTGAGAACCTTGTCCCGAGGAACATTAAAGCTCGTAAAGATAATTATTTCCGCTTAGCGGATATTTTAGGATAATATTAAGATGCGTGGTTCGCGGCGTTACCACAGTAACGTGCTAGTGGTCAGTTCAGCGTGTCATGTTTGGCAGGCTGTTGTGCGGACCTTATTGTTTTTGGTGCAAAAGAACGTTGTAGAAAGTGTTTATCCTTTAGAAATGGGAGCATGGAAACTAAGGGATCTCATCCGACACGTGTACCCGAGAATACGCGGCCCAGTCTTTTTCATGGGCCTTTGTCATTTGCTGGGCACCCCCTCCCCCAATACTCATCTCAAAGGAACGCTCACCCAATAACCTCACTTAAGGTACCCAGCCGATCATCATCCCTTTTTTGCATGCAAACAGTCTATCTGGTGTGTCTGTTTATTCAGTCGCTGCACTGAGTCAGTTTGCAATAACTGCTCAACTCGAGTTAAGAACATATTCCCTTTTCTAATCTTGTGGCGTGTAAGTGCAAATAAACATCTATTTATTCTACTTTTATATCATGATGATTTTCTTTTACATTAATCCAGGTTACGTTTACTTGAAAGTATTGTGTTGTTTTACAATTGGTTGACCTTATTAGATAATTATAGAAGCAAAAGGTTTCTGCATATGTCCTTAAGCGTTAATTGGTTGCATCACTATAGAAATATCTTAAAATAGTTGTGTTTACATATCCATCTGTTTGACACGGTGGTATGTTTTCGTATTTCTTGCATCGTTTGAGGGTTTAGCAGGTCATTGTGCGGTGTAATACATGGCATGCATCCTCTGATAATATGGGCGGGCTGATCTGAGTCAGTAGCCAATCAAATGATAGCTTCGCAGACCCGTGCTCTGACGGCCTCCCTTTCCGTCACAGAGGCTCCGCCCCTTTCTCCCCATCTGCCATTTTGGTTTTGTTCCCGTCTGCAGTCGCAAAGCCAGCAACGCAATTGCATAGGAAGAAGCTTTCGGCTCAACGACATAGTGACTCGACAATATAGCGCCGACCATCCTAATCCCATAACAGGCCTTTCTTTTTTTTCCCCTTTACCCACCGTCGAATTTGCGTTCATCATTATCGCTGACATCTATACGGGAGAGGAGCGGGTTCGCGTAGGGAAGGGAACGGGAAGAAATATTGGTAAGGGCAGATAAATCAATGAAGCACGAGTCTAGTATCTGTTTTTTGTTGTTTTTTTAACGTGTAATTTCCCGTTTTAATTGAAAGCTACAATAATGCCCCGTATCTCTCGCTCTTTAACAGAGAATGAGCAATGATAGCTAGCTGTCAAATGAGACCGCTCGTTTTTCCGAGCAGGTTAATGTAGCCGCAGCTGCTATGTTCCGCACCGTGGACAGTTAAGGCCTCTGTCGAGCTGCTAATAGATGGGCTGGGAGGCTGGTGTTTTCTTGCCTCTAAGTTATTAATGTTACGACTTTGTCCACCTGCCAAACCAATTAACTGATTAGTCGATCTAGACCGAGCTGATCGCTTTTCTGTGGGCGATGTCGCCCAACTTTTCGGTATTTTTTTATGTTTTTAACTCGGTCGGTAGTTGCTACGGTCTTGTTTGAGGGATTGAAACTACAATATTATCTGGGTGGCTTTGCTGCATCATGCCGTTCGCTTATATATATTTTTAGATATAGCTACCAAATCGTTGGCGATTTCTGTCGCTCATAATTTTTAAGTTTTAAAAAGTAAATGAGGCGTTTCCTCTGACTTAAGGGCGAAGGTAAGTCGGCTTCATATCATGCGGAAATAGTGGCCAATGGTGATGAGGGGGAGGTCATGGTTTTAAAGATACTGCGGCCCTTTTTTTTATTTCCCACGTGATTAAATTGTCTGAATAATTTAGCGTATCAAAAATAATTAACTTGTGTTTTTAAAGGTCATAGTTGGGACTGTCGTCTAGTTGTTGCTGCAGTACAGTACTTGTGAATCTGTATCACTCCTTTTTTTTTCTTTTTTGTTACTGCAGCAGTGAACTTTTAATGATTCAGCTTTTTTTGTGGAGGTGATGCTAGCAGTCCTTAACGGGCATATAGTAAACAATAGCAGCACATAAACAAACCAGTGTTCATTCACAGCATGAAAAGAAGACATAATGCTTCTATTCATTTTTCTTCTCAGGCTCAGTTCGTTTTTCCAGCAGATTGGTGCTTGGCCTGCAGCCAGCCCAGCTGCTCTGGAGGCTAGGATTCTTCTTTCCTGCAACTTGCATCATCAAAAAAAAGAATTATCTTTTTTTTCTTCCCAATAGTGTTTTGTGTTCTGTTATCTTTTCATAACATATTTTTCAGTTCAGATTTATTTTAGATTTTACATTGTTTATCAAAGGGAGCTGTTATATCTCACATTTTTAGCTGCTCTTGCTTAGATTGGAAACGCTTTGGGGTAGTAACAGTGTGGGCTGTTTTCTCAGATGTCCAGCTCGCCGCTGTCCAAGAAGCGTCGCTTGTCAGGAACAGAGACGAAGACGGGATCCCACTGCTCCTCCTCTAACTCTGTCAGAACTGATCTGTCCCATACACCTGCAAACGTAAGAGCAGTTTCATTCACCTTTCAAATGGCTAGTAATTTTCATATGCACTGAACTTTCAATCCTCTCAATCTCTCTCCACAGGGCATGGCTAAGAATGGCAATGATGCTGAGATTGATGAAGGCCTGTACTCCAGACAACTGTAATGTTATTATTATTATATTTTTTTATGTTTTTGCTGGATTTGAATGCATATATGTATTTGTGACAAATTAACAAAGAACACGTAACCACTAACAGGCTTAAATTGGCATGAAACCGGACTGTCGCTTATTTTGTTGAAGATGTTTTGAAACCCATGCAGGAGTCGTCAATTCTGTTGACTTACAACAGAGCAATCTGTAGTTGGAGTCCTGAAGTATTTAAGCTGCATACATCAGCACTATAAATACTGATTGCTCTGGTGAGGGCCAACAGAATTAACAAAGACTCCTGCATAGGTGTTGAAACATCTTAAAGAAACGAAGCAAATTTCCAATTTAAGTTTAAACAAGTAAAACATAAAGATTTTTTGCTTTTGCTTTAGTTAATATTGTCTTATTTGCTAAATGTTCTTGTCCTCCTTCTCTAGATATGTGCTGGGCCATGAAGCAATGAAGCGCATGCAGAACTCCAATGTCCTCATTTCTGGAATGAGAGGTCTTGGAGTTGAGATTGCAAAAAATGTCATCTTGGGTGGAGTTAGAAGTGTCACCGTGCATGACCAAGGAGTTGCAGAATGGAGAGACCTCTCTTCCCAGGTATTTTGAGAATGCAAAGAGTTGCACTTGTTCTGAAATCCCCCTAACCTGTCTGATTGTCTTCTTGCATCAGACAGCTGGGCTGTTTTATATCAGTGGTTTTGTGTCAAATTAACTGAGGCATATTTATGATCTCTGCCGGGGTCATAACGTGTTCAGTCCACTAAGAGTATTAGTGGTGGTGGAAGGTGGTATTGATCCACCAGTTATGGGCTGCCTAATTGAACAGGCTGAAGAAGTACATTCAACAGCCTATTATCAAAGAAAGGCAACAATTTTTATTTATTTTTTTTGTCGGTGACTTTCAGTCATATCTTGTTCTTATTTAGCTCTGTGTCCTTAAGTATATTTTAAATGTTTAATACCTAACTTTAGGAAACTGGATATTTTTCCTTTTAAGTTAAATTAAAACATTTTCAACCATCTCGTTTTCCTGACGAACTTGGACAAACTTAGCAGCTTGCTGTAATTAAGTTAAGATGTATATGACTTTTTCTTTATAATTGTAAGCTTTTTGTCTATAGTAAAATCAGACCCATTATGTGTTCCATTTCCCCTGCACACTAAGGGCTAGCTGTGATGTGTCTTAATTTCTGAACTATTAGAATTGTTAACCTACCAGTATATCATCATTATGTCAATGGAGTTTATCT